GAGAAAAAAACGGTGAATCATTTATACCAACCATACTACTCCGTTAGCACCCATTCGAGGAAGATGCTGACAGAAGGCGAGAAATGACTTGCCTCATTAGGCATTTTGACGATCCACGTCGGTGGAATGATGAGTTTGGCGTGCTTGCCAAATTGGCAGGAGACGGTGAGCAGGGACGAATCAAAGCACTCCGGTTTGTTGTGGTAGCACAGATGGCACCATGAGCACTGCATGTAGAGAGTGTCCTAAACGCACAAAGGCCATAGCACTCTCTCCATCAGAGGGCAAAAAACAGTAGACTGCACCACAGCTTCAAAATGTTGTCAACGTATACCGTCAGGCAGTTTAACTACCCAGAAACGGTATGAACATTCCGGACGCGGTCATTTATCAAGTTTACAAAACACCTGATTAGTGAATTTGAGACTAGGACATAAAAATTGCTTCGACTATTCATCTTTTAACTTGAGTTAATTTGGATAGAGTTTTGAAACTAAAAAGGAAAAATGAAGTCGCCATGTACAGGAAAGCACAGCCTTCACTTACGCGAAACTTGAATTTCGCCTGTATCCACTAAAACAAAAGATGATTCAGTTAGCCTTCAAATTTTGCACACTTAAACGGTGATCTAGCGAACAAATAAAGCACAAACCCTTCCGCAGGCTTGACAGCGATCTTCTTTCTGCCTCCGCAGTACCCAATGATGCCTCACCACCGTCTAGTCACGAGCAACAAAGGAAAACTTTCTTTTTAACTGGTTTAGTAGGAAGAAGACTTCACCATTTACTAAAAATGCAACATGTTTACCAAATTTCTTTAAAAAACAGCATAAAAACTCGAACGATTGTTTTGAGAAATCTGATTGGCGGGTAAGGAGCGACTGAAGAGCACCGATACGGAAAAGAACCAATCGGATGTTAGCAAGATGACTTTTTGTGAATGTAATAAAAAATGGATAAAATATTTTGACAAAGTAAATTGGCTCGTTTTATAAGCTCCAAACTTTGCTTTAGTTTTTTGAGGAAAAGAGAAGACCCCACCTGATCGTCGTTTTTATTACGATATGTGGACGAGACAGCCCGTCTGAAGGTAGGTTTGCATTTTGCGTCGAGCTACAAAAAAGAAATCGTAAAATAGAAACTGGAATAAAACGGGGGCATTAACAAGTAAAAATAGAGTGAAATGAAGTCTAGCTGAGGTATTTTAAAGAAACGCCCAGTCAGTGAAAATGTAAAGATTTAGCAACTACCGGGGATGTAACGACGGATCGACCAAATAAGCTTACCCTCGGAATGCAAGCAGTATGACAGATTATTCTACATGAGGAGCACTTCTTGCGTGGACCGGCTTTCTACAACAAAAGAAATATGGGGGAATCAGAAGCATTGGCCAAAGCAACACAAAATAGGTGGCACAGTTCATGGAAAAATTGTCCTAGCTTCATTTTCACTCTTGCAAGAAGCGTGATCTCATTAGTTTAAAAAAAAAATTGAAAAAACGGAGAGCAAGAGAGAGCCTGATCACTAAACGACCAACAAATGAAGGTTGAACCCACGCAACACGAATTAATCGGGAAGTGGCCTTCAATTTTTCGCCTTTTCATGAATTGAAGCCCACTTGAAGGGCTTCTTAAGATCCCCTCCCCTCGCCAGAATAAGAAAAACTGAGTAATTTGGGGAGAATTACCGTGCATTGGGAATCACTGACGTAGCAATATTCACCGGAGGCCGCAGTGTCGTACCAAAGATGGCAATCGGGCTTCCCATCAGTCTACATTAAAAGAGCAAAAAATGTCATCAAGTGTAAACGAATTCTCCATTTCTTATTTCATCTTTTTGTTAATGGCATGAAGAAAAAGCGTTCAATTCGGGTCTCCATATTTATGATCGGATTATGGCTTAACAATTTGAATGCATGGTAGGTTACGTCCATGCAAATTAAAAAAAGGGAAAAGGGAACGAATAAAACGGGGAGAACGAGCTGCTTCCTTGGAAGAGTGTTTCGCTAAAAAAACACGGCAAGGATGTTCTCCAAGCATGTTGACAGTTAATTAAAGTAATGTCTCAGCTTCACGGAAAGTAACCAGCGCAGAGGGTGGAAGAGCGAAGTCAAACAAACGCCTCAGATATGGGGAAGAGGGGAGGAATCGGCACCCCAGAGACAACATGATGTCTGGAAAAGCTATACCAGGGGCCCAGCAAACTAATGAATGAATAAATGGGTGAGTGAGTGGCTGACTAAATAAGGAAAGGAGTGATTGAACGGACGAAGGAGTGAATGACGAGCTGATTTTGTAAATGAGTGAACGAATGACTGAATGAATGAGAGCGCAGCTGAGTGAGCGATTGACGGGGGCAAAGAATGAATGAGTGGGTGAACAAGCAAAGGAGTGAACGAGGAAGTGATTAGATTAACAAGTTAATGTGAAAATGGGTGAGTGAGCGAATGTGTGAATGATTGAGTAAGTGAAGGAGTAAATGAATGTGTTCAATAATAAAAAGTACACATTTGTGCACTACGCACTAAAGGGTTTGGTTTATCCACTATACAAATTTACCTGGATGAATTGAAACAGTTCAACAAAAAGACTGCAAAATATTTCTATTATCGTCGGAGCAGTTAGCGAATTCGTTGCTAAATTTACTTTATCCCATCAACATACTACCCATAAATTGGCCAAAAAAAAGATGCCACGCCCTTTTCGTGCATAAAAATGTATCCTGACATTTATCGGGACTTTGCAACAATTGGTGTGTAAATTAGACACATACGCATACAAGAACCTGTTTTTTGGTCAAACGCAGTCTCGAAAAGATTTATCGAGTATTTAAAAATGCACAGACTCCACAATGACCTTGAGCTCCCTGAACCAATGAGGAAGAAGCGGTGTGAGTCATCCTGCGCTGCGCGATTTAGGAAGGCCATTTAGGGTGTCTGTATGCTCGAATTGCAAAAACAAACTTTAAAATGAAGTTAATCCCATTTTTGAGGCTTTGACAACAAAAAATCAAAGCCACCCCACTCCCCTTGTTTTTTTATCCACAAAGTCCTAAGGAATGTCCCATGGTCTACGGGCGGACTAACTTGAGGGTGGTGGATTGCTTAGGTTTGAGGGGACTAAGGAGATGGGTTTTAAGCGTTTCAATGTGGCTCTAACCACTCTCAAACTGGCCTGATCCGAGGTCTTTGTCGTCGCCAATTATTTACAACGATCGCAATTTGTGGCTAAATTAATTCCGTGCAAACTTCAAACAGTTTGTGGAATTTATAATTAGGTCAAGGCTTTGGTCATTAAAGAAGGCAGAAAGGGTTATGAGCCGGTTTACCTCCGTGCCCTCACGCTCCACTTCTCCGCCCCTCCTCCCCTCCTGCATGCTTGGCTGTCTCTCCTCCCCTGCCTCCCGTTTCAAAATCTTCAGAAGTTACCAACCGCTGGGGCATGCTAAACCGAGAGATTGATCAGAAGCCTTCAGAGGACTGCCTTATCCACTCGACTAGGGTCTATACACTCACCCACACACATGCACACAGAAAAAGGGAGTGAAAGATTTTCAGTCCTGACTGCAGATATGCCTCTCCCCTTTTTTCCCCTTTTTGCACCGATTTCCCGATTTTACTTATTTAAGTTGGGCGTTCGCACAAACATTCGTGGAAAAGTCGGTTACAAACGTTCCCGAGTGGGTAGCACAAACAGATAGGAAAAATTTCTAACGAGGAAATCAAACAAATCGCTCTCATAATCCACCCATTAAATTATCCAGACCAGAGGGTCAAAATAAACAAAGTAAATCGTGCGGTTTTCGGAGTATTGCATTATAGATGACTTTGTAGAAGGAGTAAGCAACTGCCAAGTTATGTCCCTTGTTTAAATGCATGAATGATGCAGCCTAAACAGGCGTGTCAGTCAGTGTGCGGTATCCTTTAATAATGCAACCTCTGACTTTTTTTCTCATTTCAAAAGGTCTTTCTTGGTTGCGTACTCTGGAGGCCTCCAATCAAACCTGTTATAGAGAACCTGAAGAAAGTGGGGTAGGTGACAAAGGAATACACCAGTAGAGAAGGCGGTTTGGGTGATAAATTTGTCTACGACAGCCGCAGTATTATCGACGAGACCTCCTAGACTCGAAAACGGTGAGCATCATTAACTCGATAGGTTATTTACACATCCACCTTTTCGAGTGGGGGAAAAGAGATCTTACCAAAAGCATCAAAGGCAGTTGGATGCCGCATGCCATCTATTACCCCCCAACGACAGGCAATAAGTTATAATGGAGACCATCAACCTGTTCTTCGCTTGATCTCATAAAAAAGGGGGAAAAAGATGGTGCCGCTACCAAACTTTTCAACTGACCAAGTAACCGACTTAGTAAGGGAGAGCGAGTGAGTGACTGAGGTGGGTGAGGTGAGTGAGTGAATTAATGACAGATCGAGTGAGGGAGCGACTGACTGAATCTGGCAAGAGAGGACCCTTATATGGCAGGAAGTGGGACAAACAACGTTGAGTGATTTTAGGGCCTGCATCACTCCGTTTCTATAGTGGTCTATCACTTCCGCTTTGCAGATATGTCAATTTGACTGTTTTTCTGTCTATGAAAAGCAGCGACTCTTCAGGAAAGGAAGAGAAAAAGGAAAAAACCAAGTAATAATGTAACACCCGTTTGCACTAAACGATGATACGTGGGAAAAAGTCGTTCTCCATTCAGACGAGGAAGGAGAGGAAGTAGTAAAGTATGGAAGGAGGCGAAGAAGCCACCTAAGTAAGGCCATGTTGACTGCCACTCTCCCATTTGGGCAATAATAAAAGCCTTCACCTCGGTAAATATGTCAGCAAAAACTAGGTGAATTTTGTATGCATGCGGGTAGGAAGGAGGGAACACGTCCAGTCAGGTAATAGGTATTGTGAATAGAAGATGTGTGTCCTGCTGGACTGGGAGCACAACTTCACCCACTTCACTGTGTCTGACCAGTATTTGGAGAAGAGGACGAGGGGGAGGGGAGAAGGCGAAGAAGGAGGGCTAAGTTTTCCCCTCTAGCTAGTGGTCAGACCGAGAAAACAGACGCAGCGCCCAACATATGTCACAGCTATGAGAAGTAGATAGAGAACCATTATAGAAAGAAAATTGTTGAAAAAAAGGCACAGATCAGTGGGAGAGATCTATTGGTGAGCAGAGCTAGGACGGTGACTCATGTCCTTCAATTTATCCCTCCCTAAATTTATGCGAGGAGAGATGCTAACAAAAGGAATCGTGTCTCACCGTCCATTTGGGCATGCTGATCGACCAGGAGGTGGCGGAGTTGTTGCCGGTGTCATTAGAATTACTAAAAAGAAGGGGAAAAAAAATTAAGAATAAAGAGTTGTTACTTAAAGACTTTAGGGACAGAAAAAAATTGAGCACAAGAAACTATCCTTTCGGCAAAAAGTTGGGTAAAAAGAAAGAATACTTTAGGTCCCTCGGTTAGAGGGGATGAAGATCGGTCTAAAAAACCAACTTGACGGCAAATTTTAGGTGGAAATGTGACACTGAAGAAAATAGGAGGATGAGGAGGTAGGAGCGTTCCACCATGTTTCGGGTGGATACAAAGTGGGTAGACGGAGGGATGGACACGGAATGGACAGAGGATTACTTCAGCAAGGCTTTACTCCTCCCTGCACAGTCAACACGACCCAAAAACATGTTTGAAGGTCTTCGTGACCCATGCCGACCTTCGAGTTCCTCTCCTGAATCAAACCTCCTAAAGAGTGCTAATATTACGTTACAAATCCTCCAGAAACGCAAATAAATACTGTCCAGGAGTGCAAAAGTGATTATTTCAGAAGGCTCTGTGACCACATAAACAAGCGTTACGTCCAAAATTAACCACAAGGAGGCTCCCAGGTTAAACCGAGACTTACGATTTTACATAAACAAACCAAGGGGGGACACCACCGTAGCGGTAGTAAACACGACGGCGACAAATGCCTCCTGTCACAGACCAGTCTTCGCATTGTTAATCAAGCAGCGAGCTGCCAAGTCACAGAGGTGATGCATGCATGCATAAAAGGGTTTGTTTTGATTTCTCACCATGGAGGAGGTTTCAAGTAAAGCTTGATCAGCCACAGAAAGCGTTTATTGAACACTCGTGTCTGTCTGCTAGCAACGACTTCAGCCGCCGATGGTTCCCAGGCCACCGCTACACCAATCAACCAACGGACGAACACTCAGTGGGACTCTCGTAAAACGCCTGCTTGGAAAATTGCACAAGAGTTACATTATTCTGGGATAATGGTGAGCTAGCCCTCGACATCGACTGCCCTCCTACCTCCCTTTCTACATTTTTAGATGATTAAAAGTAGTGGAGAGGGAGAATGACTGACCACACACATGGCAAGCAGGAGAATCTGTCTCTAAAGAGAAATGCATTTTATCACTCGCAAAATACTCGAATAGGCCATTACCGAATTGCTCATAACCCTTGGAAAAAAAAGGCTGGGTACGATGTAAGCACAGCAAACACCGCACCAAGATATTTCCCACTCCCTCATAATAAACAGTTTGTAAGGGAAAAAATTTGTTCCAATCATCCCCAGATGAATTTCATGTTTGGTGACAAGCGGAGAGTTTGGAATATCACCGCTTCCTCCTCCCAATAAACAATGACAGTCTGTAAACCCCTCCTCTCCCTCCACTACACAAGTGCGTCTTTCTCCAACCAGTTTGACAAGAGGCACTTCATTGTTAAATATTTGAGGTGTACGTGAAAGAGAAAAAAGAAAAGAGGATTTATCACCTTGTTGAGAGGAAAAGTACAAGTTCTCCCTAATGAGATTAAGAGAAGTTGAATTGCCCACATAAGAAGAGAGGTAATGCAAAACACCGAGGAGAGAGAGAACTCTCACACCTCCCGACTTCTGTTGCCGTCAGAAGAAGAAAGAAAAAGAACTGACCCCCAAATGCTTGTGATCCAATTAATTAATTAACGGAAAAATGTTGGTTCACCAAAGGCATTCAAAAAGGAATTCCATAAATTACTTGTTTGAATCCGTGCCTTCCACCTCCACCCAACGGCCCGCCTCCCTCGCCCCACCACCCAAGAGGCAAGTGTGATAGCAGAAAATAAATAACAGAAAACCTTAAAATGAAAATAACTGTTGCATGCATCACCTTCTCAGCCGTTGGTAGAGTGAATTTTTTGCCTTTTTTTACCAATTCTTTGTTAAAAATAGGGATACCTCACTTTGTTTAAAAAAATGGGAAAGAATGCGCCTCTAGTGTGATGGCCTAATTAGCTACTGTGCTAAAAACGTTTTAAGCAGAATCCGCACCTTTGTATTAAAAAAAATGTATACAAATCTCCAGCATAAGAGGGGAAGCCGGCCGTTTTTTTTCGCCTTCCTAACATGTTTACCGGTGCGGTCAATCGCACAGCGCAATTGAGGCCCACAGTCCCCCCACAACGGATACGTTTTGTTTCAAGTTATTTCTTTCTCCTTTGCATTCTTGACCAAAACTATCCTATAACTGATTTGGTGTAATCGGCCAAAAAAAACTCATGCAACACATTCGTGACGCCGAGTCTGGCCAGGAAAATTGGGATGCCACATGTAAAAGGAGTTCAAAGCCTTTCTACACTCTCGACAGCATTTTTTCTTAAGAAAACCAATCAGAGGTCTAAGATTTTTAAATAGAGTAGTAGAAAAATTATGAATGGGTGATCAATTTGCGGTAGTAATCAGGCAGCAATTTGAGGTGTGTGAAGCCGTACAGGAAAGGGTGCTAACAAGGCTTGTCACGCTCCCCAAAAGAAAAAAGAAACGAAATAAAGGGGAAAAAGGAACTAAATCAACTTTCCAACGTTAGAGTTGACCAGATGTGCTGTTTTTTAATTCTGATTTGATTTGTGCTTTCTTCAAAAGATGTACAGATTCGATAGTCACCACGGCGGTCCAAATTACACCTCCGCTTTAATTATGCGTACCTACTAATTAGATGCCTCTTTAAAAAGAAGGGAACGGATACTGTATTCGGTGCAAATGAGTCAGCGGATTCTTTATAAATGAAACCACCGCACCTGCTGGTGGAACCTCCCACTTTCTCAGCCCCGTGCCATCGTGTCTCTCAACTGGTTGTTCAAGTGGAGTTGAAAGCAGCCCTAACAACACACAGATGTGGTTGCTACCTCCATGATACTAGATGATTGGGGCAATCACTCTCTCGCTCTCCCCAGTCCCACTTTTCTTTCTCCCTCTTGCATGCATTTTATGAGCGATGATGCGTGTGTGTTGGCCCTCAGCAAAAAGGGTCGACAGCGTGGCATTGTGTCAGCGTTGGTGGTAAAAGGGAACAAACGACGCCTTCGTTATCTGCTACCTTTGTCATCGGTGCAATGCGATAAGGCGACAATGGGTGCTTTTGTTAGATGCGATCTTCTCTGGAGCCACACACACACACACAAAGGCGAAGGAGAGAGGAGTCATGAAGTCATGCTGTGTTGTGTTGTGTTGCATTGCGTCGTGTTGTGTGGTCGGCTAGAAGGGGCTGTGGTAGTAGAGCAATAATATCCACAAACTGTCATGCGATTAGATCAGCCAGCCTCTGCCTTCCCTTGCGCCGTAACAATCACTTTGCCTTGCAAATGTCAGAGCAGAAATCCACTTACTCCTCGGTGTCGTTGGGGTGTTTTAAGGCGGATAAGGTAGTCGGACAACAGTTGATTTTTACTAAATACATCTTGTGATTTCTTATTCTAGCCTAAAGCATTTCAAGTAGGCTAAATTTTGAGGCACGTTCTTGAGGGAGACAAATTACCAATACGAGGACTCACGGCTGAGAGCCCATCAAAATCCGGCGGGGCTCTCATTAGCCGAAGAGCATCCAATCACGGAGAGAATAAACTCTCCAAAAAATTTTATGAATAAAGCATACTTATAGAAGACTAATTTTTGCATAAATTAAATAAAACATGAAACAAATAGGACAATAAATTTACCGGAACTTGAAGGCACCATCGGAAACTCGTTTGAACATGTTTCATTTGCGTGTGGATAGAGTGATGGCAGAACGCGATGTTTACATTTGACCAAAACAATGGCTACCCGTTAGACCAATGATTAGTTGTGTGTATTAATGAGAGCCACCTACGCGGTCGGATCAGTAAACATATGTAAATTACCTAGGAAAAATGAGCCACCTGACCAGCCTCTTTTGATCTCGATTCTTCCGGCCCCTAGAGCTCACAAGACCACTTTTAAGTGGTTGTCAAAGCTGTGTAGATCAATGGGTGGGTTTTTACTTTGCGCCTCCCTGCAAACTAATTTTGACATGGGTATCTCATTCTTTATAATTACTAGCACATGGGTGAGTCGTTGGGCACCGGCCCGACTTGTAAATGAGTATCCTTCAGGCAAAAAGAAGAGAATTCGCCCACCAAAGAACTTCCAACTTTTGGGAGCTAAAAACCGTTTGATGGCGCACAAAATTGGTGTCAAAAAGGCTTAAAGAATCATGAAAGTGAAGGTGGAGAAACAGGCGGAACTAACCTTGACCAAGGGTGGCAGTTTAGGGAGCAACCCATGCTGTTGTGACGGGGACAAAGTTGACAGATGAAATGGACTCTGTACCGCATGTTTGTACAAGTAGCTGCACTCACGACCTTATGGAGCATGTCAATGGATTGATTCAATAGAATGTGCGCCACTAGAAATCGCAAAGTTGTCTCCAACCTATCGTGGAAGTGAAGTGCGTCCTTGAGCACCCGTTACGAGTGGTCTTTACGAAGTGGTTATTCTAGAGTGCGATGAGATTAATAGCTACTGGTACCCAAGGGGTCGAAGCTTTTGTAGACAAATTAACCCTCTCGCCGCCCTCCCCCGCAGATACCTTGGAAAATGATGGCGGAAGTATCTAGGAGGTCAGCTAGGCCGGGTCACCCCTCGATTTGCTTGGGTGAATTATTGTTGTGTCGTCACAACGAACAAACGAGTTTGGATGGCTACCAAATGGCTCACGATAATGCATCCTCACCATCAAAATTCAATACAAGACAATCTTGTCAACAAATTACCACAAGAAATTAACAATAAGAAAAAAGAAGGAGGAGGCCACATTATTCACATTCCCTACTTCTGTCTAATGCCCCAGAAGTGACGACCTATTGAAATGAATAAAGAGGCGCCTCGAAAGCGAAGCATTTTCTAACGCAATTAGCCCCACTAGATCCACCACCAGATGGTGCATCCGTGGGAGCGTGATTTCGACCCCTTAATTGTCAAGGTCATAACCGGGCTAATGTCCAAAGATTAATGTTTGTGCTGCACAAATTTATGATCTCACCGCCCATTGGTCAAAGCTATAGCCAATGCACAAACCGCTAGCGATGACGTGGTCAATCAGACGGGAGGGAATGTACAAAATCTGTGCATGCTGAACCCACCATGCCCTGAGAATTATTAAGGCGGCTACTGATAGTTACCGTGGCAACAATTCCCAATCGAGACGTATAATACAGTCTATGCACTAGGCGGCTGTCAAACCCTTATTTTTGTGACGATATGATAAACAAGAGCGGAATGCACTGATGAGTAGCCGGTGGAATTCCAAATGCGAGGTCGCCCACGTATGCAATAAGGGGATGAGGCGTTAACACTCTAGAAGGTAGTCACGCAGAACCACTCCAGTATGACGCATATTCCGTTAAGAGGTAAGAGGTAGTTGAACAGCGTCATGACATTCAAAACACAGCGGCGGATTGGCGCAGATTCATATACACGAAGTGCCTCACGGTTAAGTGTTTAATGAGGGGTGTCACCGCGCCAAAAACAAGCCATATTTGGTGACAGGCAACTTCAGAAGTCTAGGGAATTTAAACGGGAAGAAGATTTCAATAGCAGAAGTTTTTTGGCTGATTTTTATGCGCTCCTTTTCCTCACCCCGTTTTTAACTTAGCCACCTAGGTGACATGCTACTTATGCGGAGGAGGTAGCATAGAATTGAGCCTGACAAAGGAGGGATTGCACAAGCTTCGTGTGGCTAGAAATAAAGCATGATATAGGTGAGTAATGCAGACTGTGCGGTTTGTTGGTCAAATGAAAGCTGATCGAGAAGTTGGTTAAGAAATTCCCAGAATATGAAATAAGCTGCAGTTTGTGTATGCAGGGATTTGACCCCACTTGATGTTAGCCTCAGAGCATTACACGTATTTGCGCATGTGTATGCCCTCAAATTTATCAGATTACAAACTGATGTCGTCAAGTTCGAGCATGTGATCTTTCGGCTCATGTAGCCCAGGACAAACAGCTCGGTATCCAACGCCCAAGAAGGCTATCAGTATATCAATTAAAAAAACAGAAAAAAACCAAAAAGGAGAATCAGTTCGGCATAGAACTACAAGGCTGATGTGGAGGGGCACAATGAGACGAAGAAAATGAGGCAATCTGAAAAAGTTTGATGTTTAATAACAAGCAACTTAAAGGAAAAGCTAGCTTTAAGTTTCAAAATGAAGAATTAAATTGCCAGAAAATTTGGATTTTACGGCGAGTTGAGTGAAAAAACAAAAAAGGGCACAGTGGTCATTTCATACCAAGGACAATGGTAAGAGATAACTGAACTCAAGAACCAGTCACATTAAGAAAAAACAATGGCAAAGCCTAATTTCGGTAAATGTCATTTAAGAAAGACAAAAGTCCTAGAAATGATTAAATGTAGGTTGACCGCCTACACATGGAAAGGTGTTTAAATTGACACAAATTAAATATAATAGCAACTGACTCTTCAGTGTTCAGCTGGTAGTCATTGTGTTCATCTGAGTCAAAAAAGCGTGACTTTATGACTCTCCGCAGGTGTCGCGAATTCTGGGAACTGGCAGATGAAATCAGCATTTCAAAAGACAGCAAAAGCTGTACCTGTCAAACGATGATAAAAAGGCTTAAAAACCGATTACACCACTAAGTTCACCAAGCAAAACCAAGAAAGAAAAAGAGAAAAAGTAGCACAGAAGAAAAGAAAAGTGATCGTGGAACAAATTGCCTGAGGCAAATATTACAAGACGCACACGAGTAGTCGAGCACCTAAATGGGTTTTGTCAGAGCTAAGTACACATCAAAATGAATAAATATAAAATCAACTACTCGAATAGTGTCGACTAGCGTACCAAAACCTGACCCTCAAGTCCGAAAAATACGATATTTGAAATGCCACACCGTTTAAATGACGAACAACCTTAAGGGCAATATTACTTTAAGAATTAAAACACGGAATTTACTAAATATTTCAGGCAAAAAACTTTGAAACATAAAAATAAGCTGAAGTAAAACACAATATAAACGTAAGGTCTACACAATTTTGCACTATTTGAGACCCTGCGAAAAGTGAAAAATACGGGGTGTTGACTGCCAAGATATTTAAGGTATCGGAAAAAAAATGAACTTACAAGAATCGTAGAAATACTTTGCACTTTATTGGTAACGCAGATAAGCGACTTATTTTGATCTTGTTCGATGAGCGCAATTCACTCATTCAATGTAACACCCGCACCCTATACTTGATTACTCTTAATTTAATAATTAAGTCGTTCTGATATGGTTAAAGAGCAAGCAATACTTAATGATGATTTCTTTGCATTGCAACCTTATTACGTAGAAAATTTTGCGTGTTTCCTACCACCATTGAAACTAGGTTTAGTCTTAAATTATGTGTGTTTTTTCATGCGTTTTCTAACCTTGCAATGAGAAATATAAAACCCTCTCTTTGGCCTGTATTGTTTGTTTAATTTCCCTTTTCTACTTCAAATACTAGCGCTCTCGTTGCTGTCCTTGTCGGTTCCCAGATATGCCTGAAGTTGAAGGTGGTTCATTCCAATTATTTTCTCTTTTCGAACTTTCTTTGCCGCAGTAGAGGTGTACTCTTGTATACTGTTTTGTGTGTTTGTTATTGAGCTTTTTTTGGTGACGCATTCGTTTATATGTCAACATTTTTCCCCAGGTTTAGAGGACTGCGTGGAGGAGCGCGTTATTAATGAGGAGTACAAAATTTGGAAGAAAAATACCCCCTTTCTTTACGACTTGGTGATGACACATGCCCTGGAATGGCCCAGTTTAACTGCTCAATGGCTTCCTGAAATTACTCGGTTTGTTATTAATGTTCGCGTAACTGGACCACTTCGGCTTTATTTTATGCTTTTTTTCTTCGTATTTTAGTCCTGAGGGCAAGGACTACTCTATTCATCGTCTCATTTTGGGTACCCACACGTCGGACGAACAGAACCATCTTCTCATCGCCAGTGTTCAGTTGCCCAATGATAACACCCAATTCGATCCTAGCAACTACGATCCGGAACGTGGGGGTATGTCCATTTTGTTTTCTTGTTGTCTCTCTTTAAAACGCTTTAATCAGTGTGGATCCTTTGGTGGCCTTTTATAGAATTTGGTGGATTCGGTGCTGTGACGGGCAAGATTGAGATTAATATCAAGATCAATCACGAGGGTGAGGTAAACAGAGCGCGTTACATGCCGCAGAATCCCTGCGTCATCGCCACAAAAACGCCAAGCGCGGATGTGTTAGTCTTCGATTACACCAAGCACCCAAGCAAGCCTGATCCCTCGGGTGTTTGTGAGCCCGAGTTAAGGCTGAGGGGACACCAGAAGGAGGGTTATGGATTGTCTTGGAATCCCAATCTGAACGGCTACCTCTTATCAGCCTCTGATGATTATGTGAGTCGCGGTATCGTGTATTATACTGGAGGATTGAATTGATGTCATCTATCGCCTTGATGATGGCAATGATTTGTAGTGAATTTTGGATGGTTATCAATCTTGCGGATCATGTGATGAATTGCAGGTTGTTTTTCAGTTCTTCTTTCCCCTTGCTATCAAGTCACATTCTTTTTTCGACTCATTCAGTCGAATTTGTTTCTAAGTCTTTTCATAATCTTCTATAAAGACGACCAACTTTAGTTTTGCGTTCATTGTGATGAAATTTCAACTTACATAGGCGTTCTTTTCGATAGGTGCCTTCAAACGGTTCTTCAATCTTTTGCATTTACGAGGTGTTTTCAGTCTAATACACAGCGCTAGTAAAATTGCCTATTTAGTGGTATCTTGACTCCTTTTGTTTTCAATTATTTGGAACTCCATGAGTTGATCTCGGTCATTAAAGGCATTCAATGAGATTTCAGTAGCACCTCATTTCGGTTGCCACTTGGAATCATCATTATTGTCTTAACTAGGTAATCTTTACGATTTGGTGTTTATTGTTTGAGGCCACTTTTTCTCCCAACAAGATAACAAGATAAAACTAAGTCGAAGCTTGCGATTTTTTTCAAATGGTAGACATTTGATAGAAAATTAGGTTTTTTCTTTGGTATTGAGCTACATTAAGAAAATGTACATTATTTGCTATAGGTTGAACGATGAACTTGCAGAAAGTTTCGAGGGTTTATTTACACTAATGTGTCTGTGGTAGAATGCTCTGATTGAGTGCTGATGGATTCATCGCTATTGAATCGCCACCTTGTTTGTCGAAGACGAAGCATAAACCAGCAGATTATGGATGGGGAACCATTGGGAAGCCTTTAGCTTGCTTGTTTTCGTTCGACTTCCTTAATTGTGGCATATTTAAAAGTCTGTAAAAATATTCTTCAGGCAGTAGTCGGTGAGTTTATGAATGGACGAGAGGTTCTATGACGTTTTCAACGACATCGGGGATACCTATTTAAAAATGACGTCGTTTCTGTAATTCTTTTTGAATGAATAGCTGTATATTTAACCATCCACAGTTGATGCCTTTATGACTATCGTAGTATGCGGTTAACAAAATCGGGATCGTTGATCTTTTGGAGTCTGTCTGCTAACGGTGTTAGCGAGGTAGCCTTGTTAGCTCTGAAGGCGTCGTAATATAGAAGAGCTAGGCGACTACTGGCCTAGTTTAGATGAAAGGCGTTCTGCATTCCCTCGGATTTTTAGATTGCTTCCTTTTTTAACAAAAGTCACTTTAGTCTCAACTAACTTCTTTGTTCAGTTGTATTCTGTAGGTTTTCTCGTCCGTCCAAATAGTTGGTTTGTCTGATGATTGCACTGTTGAATAGTAAACTCTCAAAACTTCCTCGAAGCTCTAAGTAAATGCTGGCTGCCATCATTTAGGTAAATGATACACAGTGGTGCTTATCTCCACCTGGTCACCTTCTATTTTTTGATTTTGTCGCCACGTAGACGGTGTGCATGTGGGACATTAACGCGACGCCCAAGGAGGGTCGCATAATCGATGCACATACCATGTTCACGGGCCACACAAGTGTGGTGGAGGACGTGGCTTGGCACCCCCTTCACGAGTCTGTCTTCGGCTCAGTGGCAGATGACAAACGCCTCATGATTTGGGATACGCGTAGCTGTGGCAGCACCTCTGCTGGCGCGGGAACCACCGCTACGGCGAGCAAGCCAAGTCACTGTGTGGAGGCGCATGCTGCTGAAGTGAACTGCCTCTCGTTCAATCCCTTCTCCGAGTTCATCCTCGCTACTGGCAGCGCGGATCGCACCGTTGCTCTGTGGGACCTCCGGTCGCTGCACATGAAGCTGCATTCATTCGAGTCGCACAAAGATGAGATCTTTCAGGTCGGTTTTTCGTTGTTATGTCTAGTTTTTCCGAATCGGAACCAATCGATATGTGGATGATTGCGTTAAAGTTTGGCCTTTTAGGGTTCAGGTTTTGCGTCAGGTGTGTAATTAAAAAGACCATCAATTGTAGAAGGTCAGATAGCTGGATTGATGGCTAAATTATTACTCTGATTCTTCTTGCATGCTTCCTGATTTCCAAGCAATGGAAACCGGTTAAATGAGTGAATGGGCAGGCGGATGATTGTTTCCGAATTGAATTAACCCTGATTCTCCCATTCTCCCTGTAGGTACAATGGTCACCGCACCACGAGACCATTCTAGCCTCCTCCGGCACTGACCGTCGGCTGCACGTATGGGACCTCAGCAAGATTGGAGAGGAGCAGACACCAGAGGAAGCCGAAGATGGACCCCCCGAACTTCTTTTTATCCACGGCGGACACACTGCCAAGATTTCCGACTTCTCATGGAATCCTTGCGTACCTTGGGTCGTCTGCTCCGTCAGCGAGGACAACATCCTACAAGTCTGGCAAATGGTACTCCATCTTGTCTCACTTTATTTTCCTCATCACACCTTGTCTCATATCTTCTCTCTCCCGTGGGTCATCGTCAGTATTTTCGTTAGAGTTAAGTTTACGGTATTTGGACTCTAATTTGTTAATTCAGCACAGTATTGACGACAGAACTCTATGCAAAAGTTCAGCTGCTACTTGGACCTTAAAGGGATAAATTTAATGCTAAACCGCAAAGGTAGTCATTTCACCCGGCCGAGATCTTTTTTTACTCTTTGGTCTGATAAGAAAGGGTGGAATCACGCTGTCCTGTGAAATTAGGGCTCATAATTTTTGTCTCTAATCCGCCAGTTTTGGTGATGGGTAGGATCAACCTTTGTATGATTGAAAGTTTCCCTTCTCAGAGGCTTAACGACTGTTTTTTTCACTTTGATAGGCGGAGAATATTTATAACGAGGATGAGCCGCCGCTGGCGATCGAACCAGAGTAGGGGGGTGGCAGGCCACACATATAACCCCCTTCTCCCTTTTTTTGCAAACAGAAGAAACGACAAATTCTAACTGCATTTCGTACTCTTGACACTTTAATGTCATCGAACTTAGCGTCTTGTGTACTGTTGAGATATCTTCCCTCCCTTCGTTTGAAACGAGTCCCAAGTCTGCAGGTTCATTTGAAACTGCGCCTGGTGAATAAAACTAATGCGAGTCGTTTTTAGTGTTTGTCTTTTGCAGTAGTTTTGCAGCAAAGGTTGTGCCATTCTTCTTTTGAGATTTTGCATCAGGCTAAAAGCCTCTCTTTTCCTTCTCCCCTTATGGCAGCCATGGGTGGTTGTGTGGTTGGCAACTCTCTGACTGGCTTCGGATTGGTCATTTGCGCGCCTGAAGGTCAGTGGCGACTCTCGAACTTTTTGGTGATTTTGGGGCTGGTATGACGTAGGTATGGTGCCTTTTTTGTACTGAAGTGACTGACGATTTAATTTGCTCGCTGAATTGATGAAGCTGAATGGATTTGGGACTTCCGCTTGAGTAGTATACGCGAGTTTACGACGAATGGGTGGACAGACTGGAGGATTGCTGTGCTACCTTCGCATCTGGAGAACATTTTGGACGCCATCTTGGGCTCTATTAGATGTAGAAATTTTGAAAAGGTTTCAAGAGAGCTAGCTGCAGGCATTGGGTCCTGCTACGCACTAGTTTATGTCAGTCTTCAACGGTTGACATGGAGATGCTAGCTGAGACGTGTGTTGGAGTTAATGCAGACGCTGCCCTTTGTGTTGGCCTGTTCAAGCCGAGCATGGATGGTTAAAAGCTCCGACTGCCGCACCATATTCGGCTCTTCCTGACTCGAATCCCCTAGACCCCCGATAGCATTTAATCCACAACTTTGTGAAGAATTACCAACACACATTCCATAAAGAGCGACTTTATATGCTAATAATATGACAAATAAAAAATTAAATAAAATCAAACAAACTATCTTCGAAGAAATACAAGGAATTGGGTTCTATTACTAGTCCACATCGACACCATTTTTGGCGAGAAATTTCCTTAAGTACTCCAATACGGAGGCCTTGACCTCCGGAGGTACAGTGCCCCGAGCTGAGGGCGCTACTGCCTCCACAACATCGTCGACGTTGACGGCGTCAACGCCCTTGGAGCGGATGAACTCCTTACAGGCGCCTTTGACGCGATCATTCCAACCGCATTCCACCAACTTCTTTTCGATCATTTCGCGTATCTTTTCTCGCTCACCTTTGGCGTTCAAGAGGTCGTTGATCCGAGCCCGAATTTCAGCCCGTTTGTCACCCATTTTAGAGTCTGACGCCAAAGCTAGTTTGACCTCAATCAATCCGCCCTTATCGATTTGAAACAGCTGATAGATTGAGCAGAATAACCAATGAGATTAAAGCGGGTTGTTTGAGTTTGTAATATGCTTCAAACAGAAATAATGCTATTGGGGACGTAGCTGTTATAGCATTATTCATAAACCTTTACAGAAAGCGATGAACTCTTTTAAGTGGCCGAAAATTGCCTGAAAGCCCACCAGTGCGACGTTATTTATCAGCATTGTCGATCGGGGGATAGCATGACATTATTAAATATTAGTAGTTTGTACGAAAATAATTAGGCTGGGGACAGTTCTCATCACTTATGCAAATAAAGCACTAACATGAAAGCCGTTAGCAAATTTAATTAACTTGTGCAAAATTATAGTTTTTGGAGATGTCAAAATTCACCGGCATTAAAAATGTGCATATGGTAAGTTCTTGTCATTGAATTCGTACAAAAAACTGTGGTAAGATGAGTTATCGTGACGACGTTACTGTGTGTCATTCTATTCAAAAGATATATTTTTAAAGATCGAGCTTAGCTTTTTCTCCTTTCTTTGAGCTATTGATCATAGTTACCTGCCGTGACGTTAATTGATTTCGTTATACATTATCGCGTTAACAGCTGCATTGTTTAGTAGATTCATGTGCAACTGGGGAAGAACCCCTCAGCTTTGTCATCAATTTAAGGCAAATTTTCTTTTGGGTCTTTTATTTGCTCTTGATTGTTTTTTGAGGAGCAGTTATCTCTATCTTAATCTGCCTGCAAATTTTGTAACTGGAATTCCTTCAATACAAGCGGGAGCTCACATGCTCGCATGCTTAATGCAAACTTGTTGGGATTTGAGGTTAAAATAATCTATTACTGTGTTATTCGTAGTACAGTAAAGTTATTATTAGCACGTTGTTGTATTTTTTACATAATTAAGGTGTTCTCTACTTCATTCGAATATCTTGCACAATTTGTATTTACTTTTTGCTTTTAATTACGTTTAAGTGTCACAAAGTGGTTCTGATAACACGCATTTAAATCTTTATTATGCAAGCTACTAATAATTTACTACAATAGGGGCTTTTTAGTGCCACCACGCGCACCTGAATGTGGTTTAATGCGTGACGTTAGATAGTGAAGTGTATTTCTAATTAGAATATCCTTGAGGGAGTTAGTGGTCGCCATGACTAGATAGATGCCTTTCAAGAAATGTAATCTATGGAGTTTAATTTTTTCACGTACGTGTTGAAATCTATTCTTGCATTTCATTATGTTTTTGACGTTAAGCATGTAAGTATCTGTCCATTTGTGTCAAGCAATTTCAGCTTTTTGCCTCTTGTGATCCCTTTCAGCTTACATTTGCACCTGATATACTTGTGCTTTTGATTTATTTTAAAAGCAAACAAATAAACTGACTCCTCAGAGGTCAAAGGCGTTCGCTCCGTCACACGTTTGGTGTTAAATGACAGCTTTTCACCTAGTAGGTTTGTTTAACATACGCTCTTTACGACTGTCTACCTTTTTTAAAAAATTTGCTTTCTACACGAACGATTCATCAGTAATTAAATTTTATTTCATGTGGAGTCGAAACCCAAGATAGACATTAAATTATAAACACACTGTAGTGGTTAACTTCACGGCCACTTTGATCTCCACCGCTTCTGCTTTTATACTTCTTTGGCCTTAAATGGCTATAGGAACAGCTCGAGTTTGCACATTTGCGAAAGTTAGTTCTACATTTTCTTTAAAACTTGTGGAACATCATGCATTAGGATGCCCGAATTCTGATTTCCGCACGTTTTTTCAGGATTTGTAAGCAGGGAAAATTAAGTTTTTGCTAGGATGTGACTTTTGCAGTCAATTTATCTACTCTTTGGCAATTAATTGTTGGTTGTTTTTTTACATTTTTTGAGATGTTTGATCGTTTGGTGTAGACAATTTTGAAAACATAAAGAAACGTTTATACTTTTAAAAATATTTCCTCTTCCGAATACATTGCATTTTTTGTCACTTATTTGATTCATTGAAGCCTTATTGCTTCTCCCTCCAAAAATAGAGCATCACCTCTCCTCCAGTTCCCTTAAGAAACTGTGATGGAACCAACAGAACCACTTTTAGCATTGTTCAATATTGCAATAAAATCTTACTTCTAAGGGCAGAATCTCAGAAAAATCCGCTTTAGTCTTCCGTGGGAATTGGTGTTTTCCCTCAGCTACGAGGTTGGTGTAATATGGCCGCTTGTCGCCTGAATGACACGTTCTTACAAACGCGTACTACACACAAGAGGGAGTAGTCGTGTCCATATCATGATTGCTATGAGTTTATTTTGCATCTTATCCAAATCCTAAGCATAACTTACGCCTTTGCCAATTTCGTTACTACAGAAGTTTGTATTTGGAAGAATTTTTAGCTGAGCAATGTCTCTTTTACCCGGCTGATTAACTAAGGCAATGTCCTCTTCTAGAATTTTTAAAACAAAGCCCTTTACATAACCTTCTATTCCTGCAGTTTAAGTGTTTTTTTTTAAATATGAGTAGTATGTCCTTTTACCAATACCCTGGATGGGTGGGACTTCGGGAGAAGCGTCAGAGGGGACGTTATATTATCCTTGGGAAATTTAAATGTCAATGGTGGTGTTAAGCGATTGACATAATCCGTTGCCCATTAACCAAGAATCATATCAAATGTATTCTGTGACTTAAAGGGCAAAAGATATGCCAAAAATAATTGATTTTCAAATGGAACTGCAAGTTACATTTAATGGCTAAGAAACGCCTTCATTAACTTTAATTTTTTTTCACCTTTTTTAGAGTTGGATGTTTAATTTATTGAATTTGACGAAATTCTGTTGAAATTTTTATAGGTTATGTCCAATTTATTGATTCTTACATCAATCAAATGCTCTGTAAAAATTCGTCAGTTGGCTACACGGGCAATTTAGTCACTCCGACAAGACTTCGGGTGCGACATCTTCAATTTTAGTCTTATAGTGCGGAATTTTGGTGTTATGCAGCAAAGCAAAATTATAATTCATCTGTGAAAATAAAAATTCGAATTTCAATTAGATTGCTACTTTTTAGACCTTTTTCTTTAGCAGTGGTAACCTTGAATAGGGTTTCACCAAGCACCATTTTACAAAAGCTTAATCCATCATGTTTGAAACCCTTGGATTTCTTTCATCGCTTTTTGTCATTTCATCTTGGGCGTAATTTCCTAAATCTAGACGTCGTGGACGATGCCATGACTTACATTCCACTTTCAAGGTCATGACTGTAGCCATTTGGACGGATCACTCCACGCATTAACATTATGGTGTAGAGGTACTTGATTGTCGATACTGGAGAGGAATTTGCGCTTTGGACGCAACTCCCTCTCTCCACAAAATCCAGGACGTGAAGATCCATTGTTCACCTGTGCGTTTAACTACGCGGGCACAGCTTTTGGAACACGCCAGTAGACACCAACTATTCCATTATCTTAATAAAATATATGCTGCTATACCAACTTGACTTCTTACGACTTAGAGCAAGACTCGACAGAGCCCTACCCTACCACTACATTCGCCTTGTGTTTCAATCATTTATGCCATTGGTTATTTTCAATTGCCCCTAAAGAGTCATGCAGCAAAAAAGCATTTGCATACTTCCGTACATTCTTCATAATGCAGGTACTTAAAATCAATACATAAGACATTGTCATTTGTCATAATTTAGTGATTGAGCAGGCAGAAGTTCTCCCTCACATCCAAAGGAGCAGCAAATTTGACCTTCAAATCGACCAATTGAATGCACGAAGGAGTCGAAGCATCAGTAAACTCTCCTTCATTGCTTTTCAACGTCCTCTTGATAGGTGAATGCATTATCAAAGAAATTTATGGACTCTTGAGCAACCTGAAGCTGTTGTCCTTGTTGCTGTTGCTGCAAGTAACATGTAGACGTAGGAGCCAACGGTTGGAGATGGAAAGCCATGGTTATTCCCTGTTTTGCAGGTCCTTCGCGTTGCCAAGACAACGTATCACCGTTTCCATGGTATCGACTGTTGTGACTGAATGGCAGATAGGCGAAAGGAACAGCTACAGAGCCGTTAGTTTCTACCTGGGGGTCATCAAACATGGTCATTGGACCTGTGCAAGGCATACAAAAACGAGTGATGATGAAGAAAACTTTGTCCCTCCGCCCTCTCCATAACTTTGACTCTCACTCCTCAAAGTGGGCTAAAATTAAATCCAGAAAATTGGCCTCATGCCACCAATATGGACTTATTTTCACTTTCGAAGTTTTCTGCTCCTTTATAGGCTGACTTTTAAATGTAGAAAAATAGTACTCAATCACCTGAAAGTAGTATGTCCCCCAGGAGATCATCCAGTCTAAGTGAATTGATAGTCTCGTCTGACTCTGCCGTGGCTGAGCTATTGGCTGCAGCAACAGCGGCGGCAGCGGCAGCGGAAGTAGTGGCAACGCTTCCAATCCTGGCCACAAGAAATCCTGAAACCCGTTGCAGTGTCGGCACCAGAAGAAGCAGCTCCCCGAATCGACCCTCTGGGAGGTATTGGTTGTCATTCATGACGTTCATTAGTTCGATTTGAAGCCGACTCCGTGAGGCTTCTACGGTGAGGCGACCATTGGGTGATAGGTTAAGGTGACCTTAATGCGTATTATCAGTAGTTTTATTCAAAATCACTGCATTTTTTGTCAATGCGTATCACGATAAACTCATAAATGTCAAAAAAAAAAGATCTAAACCAAAGGTATGCGGTATTTTATGCACTACTCTTGCTGATTAGGCATTGACAATTTAACCATCTAGGCCCTCGTTCATTGGTTGAACTTAAACCAATCAGATATGTGGGTTACCACAAATAAGTATAAGAATGATTTTGTCAGTAAAATACTTAAATCATCTGTAGAAAATTTCGAATCGACGTAAAATGATGAAGGTCTTCGATGTTTAATTTTACGTATTTTAAAGACAAATGAGTTACAAGGTGGAGTCTTTGGTCTATGCTGATTGGCCATTGACGGGTTGAACACCACTCATTGGGCATTGGTTGTTTGGATAAAAAACAGTGTGGTTTTTGATAACTTAGTCAAATAATTTTTAAAATTCCTTAAAGAATTTTCAAATATTCTCCAACTGATTTCTACTATCCCAAATTCTGACCTTTTCCACTACCAACGTTTCTTACAAGACGCATTTCACTTTTTCGATCCGAGCCTGAACGTCACAGATGTGTGACGCTTATTTTTCATTAGGTGTTGATCACCAGTTGCGTATGACCGCGTCGCAAACAGATTCCTAGTCTTGGCCTAGAGATAAATGCACATCTCAGGTTTTGTTCGAGTCCAATGCAATTATTCGCGTCAGTACCGGAAAAAAAGTGGTATATTAGACCGATGAATCGTCCAAGCCTTGATTACTCAGTTCTGTTTGAATTGTCGGTACCAAAAATCAGGCTTGTTCTTGGTAGTTAAATTCGCGCCAATGATACATCACTTTTAAAAGCATCATCTTCAGGCATTTTAGGAAGATCGATGTACGAGTTATTAATCAGGTCAGTTTAACAAAAGCTGATTAAAATTTGATTGGACGATTTCATAGACTATAAAATTACCCGCACTCAAGAAAATAATTGCCTTGAGGCAAATAAATTCTGTCTCTCCAATCGCCAACTCCAGCAGTGGTCGATAAATGGTATTGGCAATGACTTTGAGAATAGCATCCAACTTGCTGTCATCCGCGCAACAAGGCATGGCTGGAAATTCATTGCAACCACCGCCACTGGCTTTGATTACTTCCATAAACGCGATATTTAACCGATGAAAGAGGTTGATAAATGTCCCAGCCTCGTCGATTTGTTGAGATGACGTGCAAATGGCCTGCCAAACCATGCTTAGAAGGAGCAATTCCCCCGAGTTCCCACGTAGCAAAGTCAGCTAGATCAAGCGCAGAACATGTATTTACTACTTGCTGCGCTTAAGTAGACCTCCTATTATCAAGAAACACAATACCTGATCTTGCATATCCAGATTAACAAAACAATCCAGCTGTCTTGCCCAATTGATTAAACGAAAAAGATGAATTTTCATGGCTGAGCAAATTTCAGCTAGACTTAGTGGTCCAGTAGAGGAAAGGTCCTTTGTCTCAATCCCTTCAGTTGTCTATAAATAAGAAGTATTTACTGAAAAAATCTTCAGGAATCTACCGCTTTGGATTCAACCTCGGCTCTAAGTAGAGTGCTGATATCGATTAGAGTGCCATTCAGTCCCGACGCGTCGCAGAATGGCCTTCGGTTGCTGATTTTATCGCGCTCGTTTTGGACCGCTGTTAAAAAGGACCATGAAGGTAAGACCCTACTGAATTGCAAAAAGTAGTATCAGACCATAAGGCCACTTTATTCATTGCCTCACCTGCGCGGTTCATGCCCACTCGGAAGCACTTTTTCAGCCGGCAAAAACGGCATTGATTACGCATGTCTTTGTCAATTGTGCAAGTTCGATTGTACCGACAACTGTAGGTGTGTTTTCGACGCACAGAACGTCGGAAAAATCCCTTACACCCGTCACATGAATATGCGCCGTAGTGTTTGCCTATTTAAAGCAATAATAGCTTATTAAAAGGCAAATAAAAATGAAAACTGGCAATTATGTTCTTTAGTATGTACATTTTGTCAACTCCTAGGCTCTTGGCTCTTTCGCCCACTGAATAATATGCCCTGCCGTGACACCAAACAGGTGCAGAGCAAAAAAAACTTGTCCTCCTGATTTTGAAGACTAAATATCATGACATAAGCTTATAAGAAAAAGAGGTCCGAGTCTATGTAAACTTATGAGACAGGTGCTTTTGAAATAGCGTTGACGTCTGACGATCATTCCGATTTCAAATTTTGCGACTCTGTGGTGCTAGGTAGGAAATTGAGGAAATGAGGAAAAAGGACACAATTCTTTGTTTTTGCCTCACTTTGCTCTCTACAACTTTTTGGTTATTCTCAACTCTGCCAATGTTGGTGTGATAAAGAAGGGAAGTGCTGCCCGTTCCTATTCTTCATCCTGTATCCGCTTCTACTCCTTCTTTCTCCGAGTGTGAAAACGAAGAGCTAAATGGAAACGGAGGTTGTTAAGGCCCTATTTAAGCCTGCATTCTAGGGACAGAATTTTCTGAGAATGACAATTTTACACGGCAAAAAGGCACTTTTTTTGGAGATAACCCCTTCTATCTTCACGGTGCTCATTTATGGTCACTAGTACCCGATTCACACGAGGCCGCCTTCTGATTGGTGGAGTCGAGTGCTCGCGGTAAATTTTTATACGCGCGTGTGTCTGTGTGACGCCATCTGAGCAAACAATCGGTGCACAAGGCCGCCTCGAATTGAGAACAGTAGCGTGTCTCTTGCCCCGTACCCCCCGCTCCCCACCCTCCTGCCTATACAAACAACCGACAGACGCGCACACACACACATTTGCACGCAGTATAAATAAATAAAGCACACCTACACGCATGTGTTCGCAGGTCGCCCCCTCCACCCTCCCCCTCTCTCCACACACACACGCACCTGGCTCTCTGATTGGCTGCCTGTTTCAAAACGCGCTATCTGACGGATTAAGCGTGAATTTGCCACTAGTGGCTAAAAATCTGTCCAACTGATTATGCTCGCCATACTTTTTTTCTTCTCTTAAAGATTTTTTTAGGAAACATTCTATAGTATTATACTAAATTTTAGCAGCCTCTAAATGTTCATTATAAAGACGATTACAGATATACAAGTCTAACAGTGTCCTCAGAGGTAATTTGACCGGTACATCGGTGGAGTCTATCTGGAGTCTTCCAGATGGCCGAATTCTGGGAGACACAGAACAACAGGTTTGTTATAAACGCTTAGAGGTTTTACAATCACTCAAATCTAAAGACCTACATTGCTATTAGGAATAGAGCAAGACTATTCTTGAACAATATTAAATCTTCGATCCTAGGTCCTTTGAAGAGTTAACTAAGGGTTTAACATGCAGGATTCAGAGCCTTGGTTGCTATAGTGGCCTGAAAGCAGCTATGATTGGGTTATGGACATTGCGAGAGCTGAAATGATAGACAAAAGACCGACCAAAATCTGAACCTTTCGAGCTCTTCATTCCCCATGAACGTGTTTTGGTGGTCCCGTAATTCAAAGGGAAAGGTGTGTCACCCTCAGTAAGACTCTTAATGCCCTAGAACAGAGCAGTACCAACAAATTTGGGTCCTGTTTAATTCTACTTGATTAGTGATGAAACAACCCGTTTGGGTGTGTGCATGTGAGGCAGAAGGCCAAACGACCACGGATGGAATCTACCTCCTCCCCACACCATAAAGGTGTACAAGGAAAATTTCTTAAGAAACAGCTGGAATTGACGAGTCACTGAGAGTGAAGCCTTACTACCTGTTTGAAATGTGTAAGGTTCTAAAGAAACCTTGTCTTAGGAAATAGGTCGAAGGAGGTCCACATGTAAAATAGCCCAGACAATGAAAGAAAAAAGTCAGGGAATTCGCCATTATAAGCCAGACAATTTTCATAAAAATAGGTTTGGACATATCCGAATAGACAATAGGGATGACTGTACTATTGAATAAGCAGAATTAAGTCATTCTCTTTCCATTGAGATCACCCCAAATAAACAGCGGGTAGTTTAATTGTGACTCCGAAAAGGCACGTATATGTCGAATTCAAAGAGGCCCCAAATACACAAGAAGATATCAAATTCAGACTACTCCAGCTGTCTTGAAACAAGACGCCAATGACAAGGAGTGTTCAGCAGATGATGGTTGGAAACATCACAAATCAAGGCAGCTTCAAATGTGCTTGAAAAGCGATGCATTGATTATAGCAAGTTATGATTTAGGATGGCTTAGAGTGGCAGTTCCGTGTCTCCAAAGGAGGGTCACGTCATTAGCTGCCTTCTTTCAAATTAGCAAGTTAAAGTAAAAGCCCACCCGTTGCTTTGTCTCCACAAATAAGACAGGTGGAGATGGGTAGAGAGGCAGAACCCGACGGAGGTCGGTCGTCGATTTTGACTTCAAAAGAGGCCATCAGGGAATCCTCCTGATGGGGATTCCTTCCCCCCGGGCTGGCCTCTCCCTTTACGGCATGCTGTGAACCCCGACGGCAGCGTGACCTTGGAGTAGAGGTCACCTCAGGGGTGTGAGAGTACCCACTGGCTGTGGTGTTACCATTGACAACAGCTGTCAGCATCTCACCTTCAGCGATTCCTGATTCTGAGTTCATCTCTGTAGTGTTAATAAACAAAAAATAGTCATCTCATCACATACGCACCATAAACTGACGTCGTAGAAGAATGACATTTGCTTTAAATGGCCAGATTAGTGTCAATGTTTGGTATCTAAGTCAATCTCTAATACTGCTTACTCTTTCGATATTCCTCGTGGTTGGTAATTAACGGCTCCGCACAGGTGAATCCAATCGGCTCTAGAACGGGTGCATAGTAGGCGGCATTTGGATCAACCTGAGTCTCCCATCGCAACTGCGTTTGGTCTGGGAGGTAGGGTCTATAGACGTCGGTTGAATGTATCGGTTCAATGGAACATGAAGTTGGGAGGGGTGTGAGCCATGCACCATTCTGATTGGTTACGGGAGTTCCATTGTAGTAGGAGGCGGTTCCAGGAACACTCTCCACAAAATTTGTATCGACGAGACTTGGCAAGAGGAGGGAGGAGTCTTTAGGAAAAAAGGATTTTTAAGTCGGTTTTTTGTATTATTAATGAGAAGTTAAAGGCTATAAAAGATATGCTTAAAGTTAGTTGGGTCCACATCGAAGTCAGACACAAATCTACACTAGATACGCACATTTTGTTGTCATCACAGTTATCACCTATAAATCTGAAGCTTTCTCCACATTCCATACTCCCAACTACGAGAAATGTTTGAGTCAGTCCAGAATTTGTAAATTTCTACAAAAGGAAGTAAATGAGCAACCCAGATCTAGTCGAGGGCGGATCCATTCCAGACACCGATGACTAGGATAAGAAGCAACAATGGTAGCGAGTGTTCATCGAAGAGGGCAGAATGATAAATGAAGGCGGAGACAAGTTTGTACTCTCTGCCCAAAAAGATTAGCTGTTTCTTTATTTCTTAATCTTCAGGATCCAGAGGAAGGCAAATTTTTTGCAGTCCAATTACCGCCAGCACCGCTACCACCAAACTAGCTAATTCACCTGCCACCGTTGGTTGAAGTTACCAGTTTAAATTAGACTGCATCATTTCGTCTGTCTAAAACACACTCAAGTGCGCTTCAAAAAACGTTGCCCTGTCATTTCAACTGATCAAAAACAAATTGAAAAACCTCTTGGTTCTCAATTAAATGAAGTGATCCGCACAGCCCACTGACTAAGGCTCAATCAGCAACGCTGACAGGGTGATAAACCCCAAAACACCCTCCCCCCTCTCCACAACAAAAAATGGACTTTGACATTGAAAATATCAACGTGGAGGCATGACACAACCCAAAGTGGGTTAGAATAATCGAGGAGAACTTATGATTTAAAATCCAGTTAAGTGTCCATTTGATGATAGGAAAAAGGCCTTTTAAAGATTTTACGTTGTTTTTTTGAAAACAGAAATGCTAAATTAAAATTAGCCAATAGGAGAGGATCAAAGTTTGCTTTTATACGGAGACCATAATAATGCTCAAAAAGATCACAAAATGACAAAGAACGACTTTTAAACAAACCTCTGAACCACGGCTTGTACGGCAACAAATAATTTGCATTCCCCCACTTTTTGAGCAAAGTCGAAAGGATCGCTTATAGCAATTTCCTCTTCTTCTTTCTCTTCCCATCTCGGCAAAAAAGGTGTCATTATTAGTAGCTTTGGGAGTGACACCTAAACTGTAACTCGTTCTGCCTTGCAAAGCCCATCCTGATTGGCTACAAAGCATTCGGCCAATCAATGGAAAAATCGATATTGATTGGTAACAAGGCACCAATGTGTGATGGATTGTTGAGTACAGCTCAAATGGCAGCGGGTGAGGAAGGTTCACATGAAGCACGTCGATGATGCAAATGCCTTCAGGAGATAGATGGACGGGAACTTGGGACAAGTGAGCTCTACACAATTTGTGACTAGGCCAAGGTCGACCTTATGAACTTTTGAATCTTCATGACATTTGAAAGTGACTACTGGATGGCATTTTTATTTTGGACAGTCTTTAGAGGTAACCTGGATGCAGCAGAATGTTGAGGAATCGCCCTATAATGATTGCAGACATGGCAGGTCAGGTGAGAATACCACTGAGAGATGGATTTGTTATAAACGAACTGAGAAAAGGTCGCTATAAGGTGACATCAGACCTACGTGGAATCTTTGTCAGAGGTAAAATCAACATTTGAATATCCCTACTCCCCTGAACAGTCAGGAACAACTACGGATTGACACTTTTGTCCTCTGCAGTCATGTAAATCCAATTCAACGTCGCTGGCTGATGTTAAACCGATCTTTAGCGGTTGCAGATAAGGGTACTGCAAAGCACGTCGAAGACGAGACAACCTCTGTGAGATAGATAAATGTATATGTGAAGTATCATCAGATTAAAAAGCACCAAGAAAAGAGCGTCACTTTCTGACTTATGCCCTTTACAAAACCTGTCATCCCAATTTATTACAAGGATGCGAGAGAAGGGACCTGGAGTACAAAAGGCCGATATTATGTAAGTATATTACTTTCTTATATAAGCAACACTTTTTCTCTCTGAAACGAAGATGCCACAAATTTTTGATGTTTTTACGCCTTAAGAGTCGGGTTTTTTTAGTAGCGTCTCCTTAAATCATGAGATACTGGGCTATTAGAGGCTTCTTCGTATTAAAAGCCCAGTAGCACTATCGAAAGTTCCTATTTAATTCATCAAACCTTGGGTATCTTCTTATCAGGACTTTGCTACCGTAAGGTGAAGAACGAAGTGATGGACATCGTGGTTTGTCAACTGTCACCCGATAGCTTACGACGCCCAGCGCCCATTTGTCTGATACCTTCCGCTGTGACTTTCCTGATCAGATGATGCAAGCACAGAATAACAGCTTCGCTTTCACTGTAGTGGTACTGAATTCGACTAGAAGGTGTTCTTCAAACCTCAATCTCGAATTGTCTAAACTGCCATTCTTCACCAATCCCAATAGTAGAGGGTAATTATGCTATCAGAAACTGAAGTCTACAAGAGATTTTGGCAGCATCTTCTGCCAGCTGACCCCGACGCAACGCATTTCATCAAACCAAGGGCAACTCTGGAATTACCTATTTTTTTCTGTGACTCAAACGCTGCAGAGCGATTTGATACCACTTCATACACCACAGTCAAATCAGGCAAGAAATGGATAAATGTTCCCGACTTTGATACTCTGTCTAGGGAAAAGAAGTTAGACGAAATAAAACATCAGAGTTTTTACGAATGAACTTGTAGAATGTAGTATGGAGATGAAAATCATGTTCATCACAAATTCGCTAGGTCATTATCACCACAGATGGTTAAGTGACGAACATCTTTGTTGAAATGCATCCCTTAGTGCTGGCGAGTGGACAAATTGGAGGATTCTTGCGACCACTCGGACGGCATTAATCCATTTAGAAGATGAAATCTGAGCTCCATAAAAATCTGATCCACCAACATTACCAGAGTGTGAGATGTCCTTCTCAAGCCAATTTTCTCGATCAAGAGATAGGCAACTGGAGGTTGAAGGACAAAGAAGAACTTTAAATGGGCCCGTTTGAACAATAAAAGGTAATTTTTAAACATTCTTGTCAGCTTTGTGGAGAACAATTTAATTTTGTCTTTCGAAGTTTAACTTAGATAGGAAAAGCCGACTTTTGATCTCCATGTAATCAGTTGTCAAGAAGTGTGAATGAGGCATCCATTGTTTTTAGTCAGTCGATCATTCCGTAAGATGGCAAAGTTTCCCTAAGGTGGATGCTTGCATTGCCCAGAACCCCTTAGGAGGTCTGTTCTTCATTCTTGTTCATTTTATGCATAAAAGCAATCAATTTCATGATTTGTGCAACAGACAATACAGTGTAAGTGATAGGAAAAGCCCTCCCTTGGTGGATGGTCGAACTTCCAGGCAATTATAACAACTGCAAGAACAAAAGGCACAACAAAACGGAGTTTATTTTTTTGCACTACTCCCTTTCATGCAATCTAAAAAAACTTTCAAGCTTTTGGTCCAGTTCTCCGGAAATTGATGACAATTCCTTATCACCCGAAGTTTGATCAGACGGCACAAATCGGCAAAAGGACATTTTACACAATAAACTTCTTTTTGATAAACCGTGATGCCAAACTCAATTAATGAAAGCACTGACACCTCCTGTCTGTATCACGCTTGCCATCGCTTAATGAAACACCCTTGATGATATCAACTTGCCCTGCGCAAAAACATATTAAAATGTTGACAAATGACAAGTTAGTAAGTTGAATTGGATCTACGTGTTAAATCTTTTCTTCCAGACCTGCACACCTTGTTCTTAGAGTAGACTAGAGTGCTGTAATGACAGAATGAGTCGTCAGAAGCAAGTTCTTCAACCTTCATGCCTTATTTAAGAATCTAACTTCATTCATCGGCACTTGAAATGGATTTTCAACTTTTGCATTATTCACTGGTTTACCTTCAAGGGTGGCCTGGAAGGTGATAGCAAATCTAAACAAAAAGCGAAAGAGCATTATCGATTACTTGTCATTCACTGTCTAGTAATCATTAAGGTGACACCGATGAATGCAGCTCACAGTGTTCACAGACCGAGTAGGTGAATGTGACAGGCTAGGCACGAGAGAACAGAGTTCGACATGTAGGTCCGCTGAAGCGCAACAGCTGCGGAAGGGTTCAGAAGTCCAAAAGCACACACACACACACAGTGAGAGACACACACACATGGATGGAGTCACCTTTAGACCCCAAAACGTTTCAGCTTCCCCAGCATCTCTCCGTCCAAAGTCTACCCTGAGTTGAAAATAGACACACAAATACTACACAGATACAGAGACACTCACCGTCCTCGAACTCCTCGCCTGAAGTGTTCACGAATTGCTGCGCATGTTGCCGTGGTTGGACGATGCCACCGTTGCTGCTATTGTAGAGGTCCATTTCAAAGTTGTGTGGATTCATGTCTACTCTGGAGGCTCAACACCTACCTACTACTGGCTCCCCTCGTAGTACAACCACAGTTAAGTGGTCACACGGACGCACCCGACGCGCATTCACACGCAGACACACACGCACGCGTCGATCGCTGATCGACGGTGGTTGGATGTGTATGGTGCCGTGGTGTGGTGTGCTGTGCTGTGCAAACATTGTTCGTGGTGTGTTTGAACAAATGGAGAGTAGGGTGTAGAAGGAGTAAAGCGTGACAGCAGACACATTGGATAAATAGACAAGTTGGACGGATAAAATGGTTGACCAATTCTCGTGTATTTACTTTGCACCGTGGAAGGAGATTGGGGTGGGTGGATGGGTGCGTGAGTGAGTGAGTGAATAAGTGACTGAACGGATGAATAATGAGACCAACGAGGCCTCCTCAAGCTCGACAGATATGGCAGAATTTGAGAAATTTGGACAGTTATCGTCTGTTATGGTACATTATGCTGGCTTGTCTTCTGAGATTTGGCCTTCAGAATGGTGCAACCCAGTAAAATGAGACTGGATAGATTGCAAGCTTCCTAAAGCGTGATTTAAACCAGTCTAGAAGTCGTCAATCAAGTAGAGATGTCCGTGGAAAAGTTCAGCAGAGAAAATTTGCTCGTTTCTGCTAAAGGCTTTACGACAAAGAGATTTCATCCACTTGGAAGTAATTTACCAGAATGTCATTAAATCGCCTTAGGGACGGTCTTTTGGATGTCAGTAAGGATCGCGACTGAGGTTTTAATTATCACCGCCGAAATGGCGGTTATTGTTTAGAAGGGACTTCTTCTTTTCGGTGCCATAGTAAACTGGCGTGACGGATCCGCTCTCCACGACTTATATATGAGTACTGTTGTTGCATTTCCTTAAAGCCCAAGCTTTACTTCAAGCGACGCCCACCTGCAAGGACTCCTGAATGGGAAACCAAGGAGGACAAAGATTCAGCGCCAAGACAAAGTGATAAGAATGATCTATGATAGTTCGACTGCACCGAAAGCTCTTTCAATGCAAACCTTAATTCTAAAACTACATGGGGAAGTAAAGAAATTTCAAACTTCTCGAAATGCGTTCTCTTCAGCCTCGAATACAATTGTCAGTCCCGGCTTCATTTGAACATTATTCTTTTTACCCTTTCAATGTCTCTGAAATACTGACAATTATTAGAGGGAAAGCCCAAGTGTTTACTTAGTACTCAGAAAGCAAAAGTTATTCGGCACTTAAATTTCTGGATAAAAATCGGTTTCCTTTTCGATCTTCTCTCAAGGTCATTTATTTTATCCTCTAGATGTAAAAACCTGCAGGTCATCACAGTTGAAGGGCTGCAAAAACGTTCAAGTGTGGAATGTAGTTGTACTTCTGATCTTTCAAGGATATTTGATCACAAATAGACAGGTATCATGACAATGAAAGGTGGCAGGACAGAATACTTTTAGGACGAAAACTCGCAGAAATTGGCTGATGTTGTAGATTTTGACTGCCCACTGATTTCCCAGTTTGTAACCAAAGCACCAACGCATTCGCCTAACCTAAAGTAGAAGGTGACCGCAGCATCACTACTTGGAGGAATGCCTTCAAGAGGCCATAAAAGTGGAGACGAGACGGCGCCTGTGCAACAGATATGGGTAACACCCGCTGTCTCTTGGAGCTAAAGTCTAACTGTGAAAGGCGGAAAGCCCAATTCACCTCAAGCTAACCTGTTATCTGGTGCGAGCTCACATCAGGAGGAATACGACACCTACAAGCCACATCAAGTCATTTCCGCAGACTCTGCTTCCAAGATCTCTTCTAGTTACTCGATTTGACTTGCTAGTGAAGCGCACAAAAATCTCTGTGTCTAAAACTTGTTCCACAATCTTCTTCGCCACCCAATGATAGAGTAAAGTTCCCCTCAAATGCAATTAGAACTCAATGAGGCAGATTCATTTCCATCGCATAGCCCACGTTGCAACACCGCGTTGGTCTTCTGGTCTTTGTTACGGCATTTTTTAAACACTGAGGTAAACTTTATGCCAAGAGCGACAGAAAGAAGGGAACAAATTCCCATTCTGGCAGTTAGCCCTGAGAATATTAATAAGATTTTTTCAAATTAATTATTTGTTACTAATTCCTTAAAAGTTCCACTTCTGGTGTTTTTTACTCCTCCTTTCGTTTCCTGCGATTTCCAAAATTTGCCAATATTTTGATGAGCACATGGCAAACGCCATTTTCGCTGAGTCGTGCATTTGTCTACTGATGTTATTTAAGTAGACGCGGATGTAGTCCTGACCTTTATTCTCTTAAGAGCTAATGAACATCATTATACGAAGGATAAATCAAAAGTCTTTGCTACTTATAACATGTGAGTAGCTTCTGGATTCGCAATGGGCATATTTTTTTGCCTGACATGCCGGCTACGCGTTGAGTTTGTTCATCGAAGATAAGGTGATATTGAAGCAGCATTATCGAGGAGTGAGTTGGAAACAGCGCTCTGTTAAATACTGAAGCGTGTGAGTGGAAAGAAGCTCCATCGTATCTTCTCAACGTGAAGTGAGATGTTCAAAGGTTACTGGGTTTAATTTTAGTACTTCTAAAAAAGGCAGTTTACGAGGCACAGAGTTTCCAAAGCACCAGCTGTAAATGTAAGATCAACTATTGCGTCCCATTTTAGCTTTGAAACATCAACTGCTTGGATTGTTAAAATTTGACCTTAGCTTTGGCTTTATATGTTTACATGTGGAACCTGTTATGGAGGGCCTAAATGCGGTGACATGAGGTGACAAGTGTGTTCTTTAAATGTTACTGACGGCTAACATGCATGACGAAGGGAGGTCCAGTCCAGACGTCGCTAATCAGTTAACAGGGGGCAGTGAGGGTGAACGAGTACTGCAACGACGTTTGGTGAACATTTGTTCTACGTGCGAAATGCATAACCCACGAGTGTAATCTGTTGCGAAAATGCACAAGTGGAAAACCTTTTTTGAGGGAATGGAGTAGACAGTCAGTCAAGAGCACTTGCAATTCCTAAAAGTTTCATCACACTGGATACGTTGATGCACAAAAAGCATAGCAACCTGTATCCACATATTAGAATGTGTTGGAAAATTTTCCTGCAACAGTTTTTTAAGCTATGAAATAAACATTGGGGCAAAACTAGTTTTTCTCCTCTGTATCCTAGAACTCCATCCCGATTTAGTTACTTACTTGCCTCATTTTTTATTCATATGCAGCACAATAGGAATTTGTTTCCAAAATGCAAAAACATATTTTCTCCCTCTTAATATTTTCCTAATTCTTTTTTCTAGTACTCTCCTCATCGCAGAAAATAAGCGCTTCCGTTAGCTAAAAATATTTCAAATGCGAACCTTATTGCCAAACAACTCAATGTAATTTTGTTTATAGTAAATTACTTTAGTATTCTTTTTCCCTATGACGCCCAATCATTAATACAACTGCGCCAATGGCCTAGCTAAATTCGGCGTCGTTGGCGCCAGGTCCAGACGTCGTTTGTTACAAAAAAATGTGCAATTAAAAGACACTTCCTTGTTTGTCCTTATAATACTAAAGTATATTACAAACGTGAGCATTGTTTTAACACAAATCAAATTTTGTGTATTAGAACATCTAGTAATGGATACTGACTCGTAAGTCAAAATGTGACTTTTTCTTCTGCGAAAATTAACGAGATCAAAGAAGTTAGGGTAGATTTTTAACTTACGAATGCTATTGTGCACATACTATCAAGGTGATGGCGACGAATCGGCCATTGCAGCCCCCAAATTAAAGGCCCTAATTGAAGTTCTCCTATTCAAATCCTGGCAAAAACCCATGCAATTCTTTCAAATAAAGAACCACTTATTTTACAATTTTTTTTGTACCTAACACGTTTACAATATAATTTGGTGCAACAATTAATTAAAAATTGCCTATGTACATGGATTACGTTTGTCCCTTGCGTGATTAACGAAGGCACTAAATAAAAGGGCATGACTTTGGCCACCCCCTCCCTCCCACCCAAAAAATAAACAGCAGACACGGCGACCAAATCTCTTGATCAGCACCTTAATTTGAGAATAAACTGACAAGGTGTTATACCACTTACGGAGCTATGGACGACAAATTAGGTCATTTATTAAAACAGGTCAACATTTGGACTGCGGCGGTTGAGTAACCACAAGGAGTCGGGTGGGGAATGTATTGATAAGGGCCTAGAAGAGATGGCAGACTTGAGACAGAAATGACACGACTGCAACGCTACGACATCAAGGTGCGGTGCTTCAGACGGAGGAGAGGGGATCGCTAATAACACAGCCTTTGAGTTAATGTGGACTGTCTCCTCCTTCAGCTCCATTAATGTCACATAAAGAGAGAAGAGCACTCAATTCCGTCGCTAGGTTTCTCAGGAATTGTCGGACTTCGAACTCGAGGATCCTCAGTAGCAAAATGAGACGACTTGCAATAATGGACAGCGTGTTTGAGGACCGACCGTCGGCCAGCCCCTGTCACCACTTTGTTCCTGCTTTGACAAACTGTAGTATCGAATCTGGGTTGTTATTATTATTATCCTCTTGACACTAATAAGCAATGAAATTATTCTCAGCTAATCTTATTTTTTTCCCTATGTGACCAATGTAGGAAGTTCTGCCCTCAAACCTTTCTATTCCATTTTTTGTAGAATATATGCTTTATTAGCAAATGGCAATAATGCCGGACACAATTTTTGAGAGTTCGCCAAAACTCTAAGCAAAAAAACAAAGTGACGTGGGTTGCTAACTACTCTCAACTTCATGAATCTTACAACCTCATTACTGGGTGACCAAGAAGGGTTGCATAGTAAAACAAATGCGGTTGTTACATCAAAATTTGTTAAAAGAGAAATGTCTTCTCTGGAATGAGTCACGTCTATAGAATCGGTCAGAGGGAAGTCCAGTAACCCCTTTTCAGAAGACACGGATTGTAAAGTTTTCTTGTGAGAAAGTCCAATGCTGCACTTGGAAATATGAGATAAGAAGGTACCCCCTCATCATTCGTACCCTTTCCAGTCACCTCTTATAGTGGAAGGAAATGACACACGAGGTTAAACAAACAGTTGGAAGTCGAAAGTGGGACAGAAACGCTGGAGGCTAAAGATAGGTGTTTTGTTTCTAAAAGCAAAACATCTATAAAAAGTGGAAGTGACAGGAAGTTTGTGTCCTCTGGAGACGTGTTAACACAAATGTCACAAATTGGCAGTTTTGACAATAAAAGACAACAAAATCGCATTCAGAGTTTAAACAAATACAACATTTACCCCAAATAGGCACAAAATGGAGGGAAGAATTAAGAAAAAAATGAAGTTTTCATGAAAGTACCCTTGGAGCATAAACAGCATCTATGTGGCGTAAAAAAAAACAACTTCCGTTTTTCTACCCTCTTCTCTGCTTTTCCTACTCCCCCCCCCCCCCCCAAACTCTTAGCATAATATGATGCATTCCTCCGGGAGAAATATCCACTCTCGTCGAGAGGATAACTGACGCTGACCTTTAGTCCTTTGCATTGACTGCGGGGAGGAGGAGTATTTTTGGGCAGAAGAAGAAGAAAAGGAGGGAGATAATTCTGGCAAAGTTGAAGAAAAACTATTCTTATAATATCAATAAAGTAAAAATTTTGCCTTTGTCAAAAGGTAAAATGACTGCGGAGGTGTGCAACCTCAGAAAACAATCCGAAGTTAATTACAGAACAGCAGGGAACATGTTGAGACATGGAGACTCTTTCTGTGCTCCCTTGATTGGTTAATATCACCTTAAATTCAGGGTCAACAAAGCACGAGGATAGAGCCTGATTCTTCTCCGGTGTATCTTTTGGTTTACTTCGACTTGTGGACGGATAAAGACGTCCTAGTTGAAGTCTTTATTGCCTCATTACTCTGAATAGGAAGTTGTGCGATTTCCAACTCACGTGCTCTTCCCCCGCAAAAATATGCCGCAGGCTAGGAGTGGAAGCACCATAACCGACTTCAAAAAAATTCTATGTTTTGAATATCTTACAAATAAGTAATTGAGGCCTCCATCAACAATTTTTCTTATGAATTGGAGCCCAATTTCACAGGCTGTCACGAACCTGCATTTACTACACCTGTCACCAGACTTGTCAGACTGATTGACGGCTTCCAGACGGGTTCGGTAACTTACGCTCTGATTACTTCAGAAGGAATTGTAAAGCGCATTCACCTACCTACCTGCCTGATGTAATGTCAAGTGAAAAATTCTCCCACTTTTTGCATATTTCACCAAGTCGACTAAAACAAACGTCATTTATGTATAAATGGCACTGCTGCATTTATTCCAGAATTTGTTTCCAATTTTTAAGTGTTAAATGAATAAAGCAAGCAATGTGCATGCCAAATTATTTAATGTGGATATCACCACCAGGACAGCGTATTCGAATTCACCGAGGGTGGTGTCGGTGGTAGGGTAGGATGAGGGGAAACGGTAGTGATTTTCAAAAAATTGCCTATGGTCAACTTGTTAAGTCTTCTTCTCAAAAAAATTATCCAAAGGAGCTTTTTTTGCCTTCTATCACCCAAAATTGGAGGACGATGCACTACCGCAAGCGTATTTTGTTTACAGACCCCGTTTTTTGTTGTTTAAGCATTTGCCCCTACACCGATTTAAACAGTCTTCGTCTCTCTTTGTTCCAATGCCTTCCATCTATTCACTAGAGCCTTTACAGGAGTCGCAAAACACAGAGGTGGTCTCAATTCTCCATAGGCTATTAGTACTTTAATCCCTCCTTACCAGTTCTTTTGCGAAAGCCTCCAAAACCGTCACGGACCAACGGCAAGACCGAGAGATCGGCGTGGCCATCGAAACGCGGCGCTGTTTTGAGGGCCCGCCTTTTGCGATCCCCACCCGTTGCAGACATAAATTGGCCGGCGAAAGAGACACTGCCATTCACATTACCCGGAAACGACGTCTAGCTTTAATAAATCAGAAAAAGCTCTTTAAGGGCTTTTACTGCTTTTTTAAAAAAAATCCAAAGGTTACAGGAAGGATGTCAGAAGGAAGCATTTTAAAAACCACGATTGTCTAAAATTTTGCATTGAAAGTAATTTATGAAATGCTAAATTGAACCACGGCTGTTTTTGTAGCCGCATACCAACTGAAGGTCTTGACTTAAATATCTTTTTCGTCACAATTTGTTTAAATAAATTAAAATTAATTGGTGGATTCTAGTATAGAAATATACGAACCGTTTAACTTAGGCCAAAAATTTCCATAGAACCTATCCTTAAATATCTAGAAAAATAGTATGCAAAACAAATAAATTTCAAAATAATTAGAGACTGAGAAACTTGAGGACTTTACAAAATTTAATACTAAGTATTACGGTAGTAGAAGAACACACCTGAGAGGAGGGATAGTTGACGTGGGTAAGCCGCGGAATAGTGGTATTGAGGAAACGAAATAAGGTAAACAAAAAGGCAGTGAAGTTTTTATCAACACTGAAAGTTTCTACCAATAGTTATTTGTTATATTATCCAATTCGAGGGACACACAAGATTTCTGTCAAATTCACTTTTACTAGCTTCTTTCCTTAAAGAAAGAAAGTGGCTACCTCTGACCTCCAGCATTTCTCCCCTACTTTCACCCTCCCAGATCGCCCCATTCTACCTCGTGTGGAATTTTTTATACCAAAATAAGTGGTATTTTTTACATGAAGATGTGTGGGTGTAGAAGAGAAGGTTGTAGGTGAGGATGAGTCGTTATCTCCCTCCCTCTCCCTTGTCTTAAGATACTGTCTAAAAACTTTCAAAGGTGAGATTTACAACACAGTGAGAGCCTTCTTTTGATTAGTTCTCAAGTTCTGGCCATTTTCTGGTTGGGTAGATGGTTTAAACAGTTGAGCCATTTTTTTCCCGCAGTCTACCATACACCCAGACACACCAATTATAGTTCCCTTGGGATGACATGCTGCGCTCCTCGGAGATGTGGGGTAGACGCCGAGAGGACAGTTAAGCTGCAATTAATGACGTGTTTGTTCACCTAACCCATGTCTCATCACAAGCTACTCCGTCCCTCAATCTTGAAGACAAAAGAAGAATGTGGGCAGTAGAGCCACAGAAGGGATTGGGGTCTGCTAGCATAATCGCAAGGTCAGGCCGCCTAACGGAGGTACAATGACGAAGCCCCAAGTGGCCCGTCACCAAAACTGAGAGTTAAACAAACAATTAAAGCATCAAATACACGGCGCCTTTGTGATGACACGAAGAGGAGAGGCGACGAGCGAATTGACAGCCATGTGAAATTATAGCCTACAACCTGTTTATCCGTCGCATGTGACAAGCATTTGCCTGGTAGCTTTCCACAGGACTTCCTCTATCCACCTAAAGCAAGTGTAAAGGTTTGACTCACCCCCATTTTCATTCTAGATCACCGGTGGTACTCAGTTCTCCCTTAAACACCAGAATAACAAATTCTTAGGATAAGGGCACAACTATCTTCCAATCCTTCACCACCCGAACCACCTTACTTAAACCACTTCCAAGTGGGCGGTCTGTTACCATCTGCCGCACAACAGACTTAGCTCCGTTGGTGGGATAATAAAATAAGTTCTAATCAAGATTAGACATTTTGACTGACATTTTGCTAAAATGAGAGGTTAAAAGAAGCAATAAAAAAGAACAACCCGTTGAGAGCATGATAGGTGCCACGGCTCCAACGCACAGTTGCACATCTCCCTCTGCAGAGAAAAAAAAGCAATTGCCTACGCATCACCCGTCACCATCATGTCATCTTATCAAGGTGGTAGCATAAACCGAGTCAACTGTTTTTGCTCCCTCTGTCTGACATTCTCTCCTGATAGAATCAAAAAAGAGATGGTTGTTTCCTCCCTCCCCGCCTCCTTTAATGCAGTCCATTGCGGTGGAGCCGATATCTGTACCACTCTGCACTGTCAAAAGGCTGGGTGAATATTTAAATTTGACTGAAATTTGGCGCCACCTCGAATCTTCGTCCTACCCTTCTGCAAATTAACGGTGCCAATTATCCACCAAGATGCAGCGCTGATGCACCTTTCACAGTCAGGCGATCATGACGTTTGCCGGCATCTAATTTTGCTCTGTACGCAACAAAATTTGTACTTCCTTTTGCGCATTAAAGTACAAGTGGTACTTGTGTCTTCGCTGAAGGTGCTTTCTTATCGCATCGCCATCTAATGAATATTGGCGTCGTGTGTGTCGTTAAGTCGGATGGTGTCCACTCTGCAGTCCGAAAAATTCCACTAATTTGCATAGATGAGGATGCTTGGTCTTTGCCTAATCTCTCTGGTGAATTCATTAGGCACAGCTCTTTGAAGTTGCATAATGACGAAATGATAGCCAAGAGGAGGCCCTCTACAATGACCTTTCCTTGATACTGTCACTCCCTTATTTTGACACGAAAATTCCGGTTAAAACTATCTATATTCAGAAATAAACGCATAGTTTTGGAGTCAAAAAAACAGTTTTTTGATGAAGTTTTATGGAATTTCTTACCATAAAGTGGTGGAGAACACGTGTCACGTATATATGACGCTTTACTCAAGTGTACCTTTGGGTTTGTTACATACATAAGGAGACCATTTTCAAGCTGATCAAACGGCTCAGTAGGTACAAGTTTGTTTATTTTATGTTGACATTTTTTCCTAAGTACCTTTCTAGAGGTTTGAGTCTAAAAGTAGCCCTGTTGTGCGCTTATCGGAGAGATTTTGTGCCGTAGATAAATATAAAGTGAAAAAAGTTGGAATGATTCTGTCCTTGTTTAAACTAGTAATGGATTATTACTGGCAAAAAATTCTCTTTTTGCTTTGGGCGTCAACGTTATCGTTCCTCTCTGTGACCACGCCTCTCTGTCGGCCATGGCAACGGTAATAGACGGAGTTGGGTGAAAACAGCAGAGAGAAATCGAAAAAAACGCTTATTTTTAATCTTAATAAAAATACTGCAAAACTCTCATCGTGGTTCCATACTTTATTGAGTTTAGTGGCATCCACCAATTTCATCGTTGTGTTTGTGAACTGAAGGGAGTCCTGCACCTTTAAAGGTGCCTCATCAACAAATTACTCTCCAGAGAAGTGTTAGGATTAAAAGAAAAAATGTCCCTTTTGTTTAAATGAACAACAATTATTTTAAACAATTCTTACTTTCATTTCACTGCCGTTTTACGGTTGTCCAGTCAACTGTTGGATTATGCCTCTTTGTCTCATAATACACCGAGTTGTAGAAACGGGAGATTGAGACCTCCCTCCTATGTGAAACAGCAAAATCATCCAATCGCCGTAATGATTCTCCCAACGTAAATTGTCATCTATTTCTTTTTATACCCCCTCCCTCTTTGAAGCCCGAATGAATGTACCAACCTTCTTTGTAAAGAGAGTAAGTGTCAAGCCTCTTTGAATGTCCCGTCACCGAATTATAGCCCTGGTAACCGATGAAGGTGTTAAAGGTTGTACGGTTGTAAACGTACCTTTGTCACTGGTGAGCAGAAGGGCTGACAGGGGGAGGATAGCATGAATGACAGAAGCAGGTCTCCACTGTGTACGCGTGGGTGCCATAGAGACTCCCACGGGAGTAATAAGGTGATCAAGGCCTCTCTACGGACGTTCTTATTGATGCTGACCGGTATGGGTAGGCTGAGGGTACGACTGGTGGTCGGAGGATACAAGGAATACCTCCATTTTTGCCTAGTTACGGACCACGATTGGTCATAACCTGAACGTGGTTGGAGGGACATTGAAAGCGAACCTCTGCGTCGTAATAGTCAATCAGGAGGAAGCCAGCTGGGGTACTATTTCTAGATGGTTCTAGACTTCCAAGGAAACAAAATTTCGTAAAAACTTTTAAAATTCGAAAACAAAATGGAAAAAAGGATAGATCAAACTAAAAACATTGCTTTGGGGAGCAAAATTTACACCAAGCTGTTGCCAAAGCTACCAGAGGATTTCGATGTTGCCATTGGAAACCTCTAACCTATTATTGTAGCGAATGGTAACGACTAATCTGCCACGACATCTTTGATCAAGAGAAGTAGCACCGCTAACCACCCCATGTAACAGCAGACCCTGATATGGACATTATGAAGTGACTTGTCAGGTGTGCGAGACAGTGGCAGAGGTGGCGCATTCATATTCCCTCCAAACAGACCATTGTCGAATTTTTTTCAAACATTTTCTATCCATCTGTGTACCTCTTAATCCACCACTCACAAATCCACTCATCCATCTATCTATCCATCTGTATAGTCTAATCAATCATCTATTCATGCATCCGTTCATTTCAAGTCTTTAATTTGCCCTCACACCCTCCATCTACTGTTCAACGACTGACTAGTGAATTACTTAGGTAAAGTAATGTACGCAATTCAGAATCTCCACTTCTGGGGTGAATGGTCCAAAGCTTCAATCATCACGCAACCTTTAGTTATTGCACCTGACTTACACTTCCTGAGAAATGCCACACATGGGGTGCCATGGGGTTGATCACCGACCCGTGTGTTCAAAGACCTTCACAGCCATTAGGAAAGTCCTTTTAAGCAACGCACTCAGGCAGATTGCAAAAGAAGTCGACTAATTAACATTATTTACAGATTATTAACAAAATGTTGGCATTAAAGTCGTGGAATTTGTAGTTTACTACAACCCTTCCAAAGTATATGACACGCGGCATGTCGTAAAAGTACCAATGGAGCCAAACCGAAATATTCCTTTCCCATTAGGCCCCTCCCCACACGGCTGTCACTGTCATTACGGCCCCTACACCGCCTGTACTTTTCCACGAAGAAATTAACATTTGACCCCATAGCTTCACATAAGCGGGCAAGAACTGGATTACATCTGAGTAAGTTAGCCATAGAGCATAAAAATTTGTGCTAATGACAACTCGTCTTAAAGGAATGTATTTAAGGCAAAACCTCTAAAAATACATTTTTAAAAAAGACCAAGTGATAAGAAGCATTTGCAATTCCCGTACTTTCCACTCCAATATTGTTCTTGCCATTCCCGTTGATCTACTCACAAGTCTTTTAAGTAGTATAGCCCCACCTAACGATCAGCTGATACTAAGAGAAGTTGTAGATAATTTAGATGCTGAAACTCTTTTTTCACTCCATTAAACAAAAATATGAAAAAGACCTGTTAATTAAAAATTTCCGGTGGTTAAGGAAACACCTGCTGCGGATTAAAGTAAAAGCGAACAATGTGGTGTTTATTTTGTTTCGATGGAGGAAAACCAGTAAAAGTAATTGGAATTCTCTTCATATAGGTAGGAATTAAAGGGATGGCATCTGTAAGACACAGTCCTGATCCCTTTAATTAAGCGAAGCAATGTGATTGGTTAGTTATGAGGCATTCCAGGCAAGTTGGTGGAAATTTATTTTATATAAAACTTCACGCCATTACAAGAGTCATCTCTCTTTCATTTCCAAAAGGATATTGGCTATTTGTCAATCCCACCACTTTTTTAATTGAGCAGCCTAACCCTAAAAAACACTTATTTTGTCCTCCTACATTTATATCTCAATTTCATCATCTCCCCTTCTTACCCCTCATCATTCAACTGTCTATTTCACACTGCAAGATATTTCTTTTCAGTAAAGACAGGTGGTAGGTGGAGAGAAGAGGGTATGAGGGAGGTGTGTCCCTATCTGACGTCTTAAAAGGCAAGCCATTCCACACGTAAGTTTTTCCTCTGCACTCTGGCCTGCGCAATCGGGCGTTGCGTGGTCCCGTAGGAGGCAGGATAATGCTTTTCTTAGTTGTTTCTAAAGAAGCTATTTTACCTGCTTACCTTCGTACTGCCTTCCGACTATTCAAAATGAACAATCCATCATACACACACAGAGGAAGAGGGAGGGGGATGGGGAGAGCGAGTGCAGTCCCTTTGGGATTAAGCGGTGTGCGCTTTAGATGTCAGTTGGGTGGTGAGGGGCTCTGTTCGGCACGACCAAAGATATTTTTGCTCATGCCAATAGAATGGTGGAATAAACTACAAAAGGACCATCTTATCACATCAGACAGGAGAGTCTGTTCTCTCCGACAGCCAGACAGCAAACAATTTTAACGTAGGCGACGCGTTACTCCTACATGAAATAAAGCAGTGACGGGTAAATGCAGAGGCTTTGAAGCTGCGTATTGTGGTGTGTTGGCTCACCTTTCACCGTGACTTTCACAGGCGGTGTAAACGATTTGTCTTGCTTCACTCACATAAACAATAAAGCGCATTTTAGATGCCTCTTACAATTTAGGAGAAGTTATTGCATCGAAATAAACCAAAAAATGTATGGAAATTTATTTCCCAGTCAACTGACATGGTGGTGCAGTCAACTACTCTCGACGCATATTTGTGACGGAGGAGTCGGATGAGAAAATTGGCGATGTCACACATGTGCGACACTGGCAGTGAATAGGTTGATCATTTTATAAGGGTTGTGTAGAGTACAATTTGGCCGTGGTTGGGTGTCGTTCCCATTTGGGTACTTCGAGGAACTGAAGATTTGACTAAATACGGTTTATTGTCCGCCAAGATTGGACAACAAACGCCCCCATTTGTCATTCACCAAGGGCTGCTGTATCACTACGGTTAGTCGCATCGTCTGCCTGTCCAACTTGTAAAAGTCATTCTCTCATTCATATTTGTCCAATTCATTCAAAGTTTTCAGGGCCTAAACACGTTCCTGACCCCGACTCCAACTGGAAATTCATCATTTCAGCAGTTCCATCGGTTATCGAAGTCTGGCCACGTTTGGTGCAACCGCCTTTGCCTAAGTAAGGATTCTATATCTATTTCACTTTGCGTTGTATCTCTCAGATGCGGTTTGCGCTTCAACCATCCCCGGCAATCCACGTGTGTCCGCGTTTTTTGTGATTTTGATAAAAAATAACATAACCCTAACCCTCCTTCCCCTCCTCATTCGAGTTTTCGCTGTTTCACCTTTACCTTTTGAGGTAAAAGAACATCTTCCTGTAACTTATTTTATCCCTGCGAGGCAAAACATCACATTACTTTCGTCTGTACTCGTTTTTCACAATCATATTACACCACCATCCCTGCAACCGCAGACATAGGAAGACAAAGCAGTAAACACACAAGCACACATACACTTTGGCAGTACCGGAAGAAAGCAACCGTTTATTCCTCTTTCTTTTCCTCTTCTACTACGACTACTTCCAAGCTTACAGGTTGCATGCAAAAAGTTATTCATTCGCCTACATCCTTACAAGAAGCCTCAAAATCCCACCAGCCTCCTGTCTTTGTTCCTCCTTTCCACCCTACTATCAGCCTCCCTGGAATTCTCGCTCCTCCTTCTTCTCCTCC